AACACCACACACACACACATACACACACAAACACACACACACACACACACACACACACACACACACACTCACACACAGACACACACACACACGCTACATGTTTTTGAGCGTCTGTTTTGTCGGTCAGGATTCGCTTAATTACCACCATGAACATCGCAGCGGCAGTTACGAGTATTGTACTGAACTCAAGTGTGATATTGTGTTGCAAAACGCGAAATGAGTTACATCCGGTATTTAATTATGTTCCAGCTTCAGCAGTTTCCTCTATTGTCCCCCGTACCGCCTCCCTTCCCTTCACCCTCCAATCCAAACCCCTCTTATTCCGTACTCCATAGAATGCTGAGAGTCGTTTAAATTGTTTTTCGTACGGCTGGTTTGGGGGAGGGGGGGGGTGGGGGTGCCATTGGTAAATACGATACGACGTTGACCTACTGTTCTTGTGGGCCACGGCATTTCGGTCCATTGTGTTTGCTTTCTTCGCCCACCTCCATCCCCATCCTCTGACTTTTTTAAAATAGATTATAACCCATTGCACAGCGGGAGGTACTACTTCTGAAAGAGTAATATGACACGTATGAACACAAATTGTACTTGATTGAACGTGTGTGTCATTTACGTTAGATAATCATTTCTGTTTTGTTTCCTAGAGGTTTTTATTCTCACACTGGTGGAACTCTGTGATGCAATCAATGGTTAGCTTTTTTACAGTTACAGCCAAAATAGTTGACTCTGGTTCTGTGGGCGCTCCGTTAGCTCCATTGTTATCATACTGGACTACGAAGAGGATTGCCCTGGTTCGATCCCCAGACTGGGCGTTCTTGAACTCAGGTCGTTTTGTGGAGTTTTCAAGGCTCTCAATCCATTTGGTTCGTCCCTATCGGAGACAGACGTTAAATTCGAAGCTCATGCCTATCTATTAAATAAACTAATGGTGTTGACAAAAGTGTTTAACCCTTACACTTCGGGTGCTTTTTTTAAAATCACGTTGACAGTATTAACGTGTATTGTCGAGCATCTCCGTCTTTCTGCTCAGATGCCGTGTCCCCACCCAGTTACGCCCGCCCTGACAGGTAGAATGTAAGCAACAGCCGGTCTTTTATATGATGTACATTGTGTCAATAGAGGTGTAAAACATCATCAGTCGTTTTCGATTAGCACTTTGTGAAGTGTTATACCTTGGATATGTTTTATGTATGTCTCTCAGAGGAAATGAGCGATTGCCATACTTTTTTTCGCTGCCAGACCACGAGCTGAGTGCTATCTCGTGTTAACTCTTAATTTCCGTCTTTTGGTGTTTTTGTCACAGCTGTGTCCAGCATCCCTTTGAGCCCAAAATTATTGTCATTAGTACTCGTGTTTTATAAAGTCGTAGTTTCATTTTGTACGAATTCCCGTTTGGGCGACTGGAATTCGGTGCTTTCTAGATCTTTAAAATAAAAAAATAAAAACAAAAACCCTGGGGAAATGGAGTTAGCACAAGGTATACAGTAGTACAAAGCTCGTGAAATAGCCTTTGGGATATGGATAGTTTCCTTTAATATTAATACTTTATCATGTATATAATATATAGACATGATTATGCATCGCAACATTGTGTCCGGTCATGTAGTACTCTAAAATACATTGTATTATTATATTCCACAAGCTGGCGCTTTGGAGTAAGATAAATGAAACAAGACAAAACAAAACTAACAAACAAAAAACAACTGTGCTCCTTGTACTTCACCTCGTCCTCTGCTTATTTTGTTTTCTTCTCTTTGTTTTCACAGAACGAGGAGTCTCAGGCGAATGACGTCAGCAGCCACGCCCACCTCTGGATGTCATCATTAGCGGTGTGAGAGACAGCCAGCAGTGACGCCCACCGGTCATTTCACCAACCCGCTGCCAGTGCTAGATCTACGCCAATTGTGACTAACCTGTAACCTCTGCGGAAAGAGCCCGATAAGCGGGTATCGAAGCCATCTGTCCCTCTGGTGAAGGAAGACGGAGCCCCATCAGCGTTATTCACTCATCTAATACAGGCGCCGAAGGCCAGGGAGGACGTTTCTCGTCCAATTTAGATGAGACAAATTTGGTTGTGACATTTTCCCCGGTCTGCGATATTCGGCGTGGGCGAAGAGTGTCTGGATCCTTTCACCTCGAGGCAGATTTTCCCAATTTACTCGGGTAATTCGTTGTAATGAGCCTATTCGTTCCACATATCGGTCTGCCAGCGGCGCTGTCTTCCTAACATTTCTTCGCTGCCTACCAGCTGGGGCCATATTCTCTGTTCAGCGAATCTCAGTCGTACTGGACTTCTCAGCC